CTAGCAACAAAAACTACTCTCATGCTGGGTGTGGTGATACACGCCTTTGATCCCAGCACAGAGGCAGACAGAGGCAGTCAGAATTGAGGTTATTCTAGGGGGCCAGCTGTGGCTACAGGGAGACCCTCCTGTCTCAAAACAATGAAAAAAAAAAAAAAAAACCCAAACCAACTACTCACTTAACCCACTTTTGAGCTGTTCTTCCATCACTATTGCTACAAATTCTACAGTTAAGTGGAACCTTAGAGTTCCTCTTGTTCAATGTGCTCACTTTATAGATGAGGAAAGTAAAAACAGAATTGACTCCCATACGGTCACACTGCCAAGAGCAGAGCAATAATCAGAACTTGAATGTTAGGACTCCAACTGTGCTTTTTTTCTCTATGCTTTGAAATATTACACTAGTAAAGGAAATATGATAGTGTTAGGCTCAGACAGTATCTTAACTGTAAGTAAACTACACAAAATAAAATTTGGGGCTGGCAAAATAGCTTGGCAGGCAAAGGCACTTGCCACAAGGCCTGATGACCTTGGAACCTACATGGTGGGTAAAGAGAACTGATGCCTACAAGTTATCTTCTGATGGCTACATGGTATACATCCCCCTCCCAAATAAGTAAATAAATAAATATGATTTAATTTTTTTTAACTTTAAAAAATAAAACTAGGGGCTGAAGAGATGGCTCAGTGGTTAAGAGTACTTGCAGAACTTGCAGAGAACCCAGGTTTGGTTCCTAGCACCAACATGGCAGCTCATAACCATTAGTAACTCCAGTTTTAGGAATCCAATGTCCTGTTCTGGCCTCCATAGGCACTGGGCATGCATATGGTAAACATATATACATTCAGGCAAATACTCACATAAAATTTAAAAATTAAATAAATATATAAAAACCTGTCCTGGGCTGGGGTTTTAGTTTGGTGGTACAACGCTTGCTTACTGTACACAAGATCCTAAGTTGGATTTCCAGCACTGTCAAGTAAACAAAGAGACAAAAAGTCATCTCTTTAAGAACAAAGCTAGGGGCTGAGCATGGTGGCACACGCCTTTGATCCCAGCACTTGGGAGGCAGAGGCAGGCAGATCTTTGTGAGTTCGAGGCCAGCCTGGTCTACATAGTGAGTTCCAGGACAGCTGGGGCTACAGGGAGACCCTGTCTCAAAAAGACAAAAAATAAATAAATAAATAAATAAATAAATAAAAGAACATAGCTAGGTTTGGTGGCTGATGCTGGTAATCCTAAGGAGGGCACAGTGAGTTTCAGGTCAGCCTGGCGAGACCATGATTCAAAAGAACCAAACAGACAGACAAACAGGCAGAAAAAAAAAAAAAGGGTTAGAACAGGAAGCAGTCTCCAAATTCAACAAAAAAGAAGCAACATTTGTTCATACAGTGCAGGAGTTAAAGGGTACAACCTGGCACATATTTCACATCCTTTCTGAAGCATTTTATGTACAGGGCAGAACGTATGTCCTGCATGCCCAATCAAATATGCCTCCATAGAAGGCCACAATGAAAAGTTATATGACCCTAAATGTGTTGTGGATATAGCTCAGTGGTAAAATACTTGTCTAACATATTAGAGGACGTGGGTTCAAGCCCCAATGTTGCAAAAAAAATTTTAATAAAGAGAGTACTAAAATGCTGAAAAATGACCCTTCTGACAACTGATTGTACAAAAGGAAACCACAAAGAAGGCCAACAATCATGAAGGACTGAAGGAATAACTTTGAAAACAGAAGAATAAAAACCCAAGAGAAATTAGCCAGACACCAATGACTAGACAGCACAGTAAGAAACAGTTTCAGAACTTGCCTAGCATCAGACAGCTCTCGACCTGCTGCAAGAGAAAAGCAGGAATAATTCCCACAGCAACAAGAGAAAAGGCCTAGGTTTGCCCCTGAGTGATGAACTAGATATGACCTAATAGGTATTTGCCATCTCTTATTTCTGGGATTCTGATCCAAGAACAAACAGCAAGAGAACCATGAAAAATCAGCCCTGTTAGATCTGGAGTTTTGCCTTGACAAGATATAAAGCTCATTCATAGATCTGACTGTGCTCATGAGACTGCAGTTCAACTCCTGCTGCTAGAGCAAGGGGATGGGAAATGAAGACAGAGAGGGGTTAGAGGGAAGGAGGTGGAGGATCTGGGTTGTGACTATAATAGCTACAGTAATTAGAGTGTTTCCAAGCTGCTGGAGAAGTCTTCTGAACAGAGACTGGGATAAGAGATTGGGGGGTGGGGAACAGCATGAGGAAGCAAAGTACTGAGAATGACAGGAAAGGCTATGTTGCCTTGTGAACAGTTTAAAACAGAATCTGATAGCTTTGTATGGGTAAAACCAAGAAGTTTATTTTTCAGAAATAATACTAAATAATGAGCTGATATATCACTAAGCTACCACCTGAAGCTAGGTTACAAACTAGATTTAAGCAGATCTTTGACAAATCCTTCCTTACAAAGTGGTTCGCCTCATTTCCCCTCAAACCTGTCTTTTGTCTCTCTAAATAACAAGTTGGGCTGGCATGATGGCTTAGCGGGTAAAGGTAAGGATGCTTGTCTCCAAGTCTGACCACAGTTTGATCCCCAGATTACACATGATGGAAGGTGAGAACTGATCCCAGCAGGTTATCCTCTGACCTCATACACACACTATGACACATGTGCATGAGTACACATATACACAAATAAATGTAAAACAAAACAAAATAGGTCAAAGACTTCACTATACTTGGGCTAGGGGAAAAGGAACATCTGAACTTTTTTTTTTTAAGATCAAGTTTCTTTTTAATTTTTTTATTATTATTTTTTTTTATTTTATGTGTATGTGTGTATTGCCTACATGTAGGTAAGTGCACCCATGTCGTGCAATGCCCGTGGAGGACAGAAGAGGCTGTTGGATCCCCGGGAACTGGAGTTACAGACAGTTGTTAGCTGCCATATGGGTGCTGGGATTTGAACCTGGGTCTTCTCCAAGTCAGTGTTCTTAACCCCAAGCCATCTCTCCAGCCCCAGAACATCTGAACTTTAAAACAGTTAATACACTTTATTTCCACTCAATTAACTATTTAGTCCATATCCTGTGAGCTCCATTAGATCTGGGTATGTGCATACAACAATAGAAGGACCACTCAGGCTGTGTCCTAATCCAGAAAATTACTATAAAATACATATCACGTTACCTCTTCATAAACTCTAGTCTAGGGTCAAGGGTGGTAATATAATCTCAGTCTCTGGGAGGTTGACCAAGAGGATCATGAGTTCAAGGCCAGGCTGGCCTGGGTTATATAGCAAGAAACTGTCTCAAAAGAAAAAGAAAAAAAATTAGCCTCAATGAACATGAAAAAGAATAAAAACCATATGAACAAAAAAGGGTAATGATAATCTAAAGAAAAATTAAGAACTTTCAGAAAACCTCAAACTAGAAAGTGTCCTAAGTTATAGGAAATGCCATACTTGATTTTTTAAAATAAATATTTAATATATTTCTTTAATTTCATTTGGTCCCCTGGTGCTGATTTGACTCTAACAAGTAATGTTACAGCCAGGAGTGGTGGCACACACCTTTAGTTCCAGCACTCAGAGGCAGGTGGATCTCGGTGAATTCAAGGCCAGCCTTGTCTACATAGTTGAGTTCCAGGTCAGCTGGGGCCACAGGGAGACCCTGTCTCAAAAAGACCAAAAGGGTTACAAAGGTGCTGGGAAAAAAAAATCTAAAAATTGAATACTACAAACTGAAGAGATGCAAACTTCATGTAGGAAATTACATCAGTAAAATAAAAACATGCAAATTTCTTGAGTAAGGCATGTCAGGTAGATCTAACACAAAAAAGTAAATTGTACCATTTGCATAAAACCTGTTGGGGAGTTTCCCCATAGACTAAAGCTTTATACCACCAAGAAGACAAAGAATTTTCTGTTTCCCATCTCCTTCTAATAAACAAGTACTAGAAGCACTGAATTATCACTATTTCCTTCCCTTTCATAGGGCAAAAAAACAGAACTTCCAAATACAACAGGGCCATATAGGACCATGTCTAAGGCATGCTACTCAGAAAAGAATCTCTTTTCTCTAGTCCATTACCATCTCACTCACAAATCAACAAGAGGCATTAAGAAATGTGAAACAAAGTGCAATTTCACACATATAAACTAAACCCAAACCACTGAGGACCAAGTATTTTCTTGTCACCGTGGCATGTGATTCTTCAACCACCTGCTCAATAATTCCTCTTCAGCTGCACAGCTGCTGCTGACTCCACATGCCTTGCTAGGCAGGTGCTTTGGTGAATTACCTGTTCTCTAATGAAAAAGAGTCCTTCACTGACACTTAGCGGGCCCAGAACCTGCCAATCAGCATCACCTATCTTTATTTTGTGTGTCACAGTCAACTTTTTTTACCAGAGGTAATATAAAGGCATATTTAATATACTGTGGTTTTGTATTCTGTGCTTTTTTAAAAATTGTAATGCTGCTCTTTTGTTTTAAAAAGGAAACATTTTGAAAAATCAAATAGAAGTGAGGATTAAGCTGATGAAAGGAAAACTTGCCAGACAAGCTCAGGTTCCCTTATCTCAGTGTGGCCTCATCTGCTGGCAGTATTCCCATCCATGCTGGTTTTCTACAATGGAAATAACAATTGCTTAGCTGCCTTTGGAGTGGGTCAAAGTGGCAGTGGAAACACTAAGATAGCTGACAAAGAACTTGAGCCAGGAGGGAGAGGGGCAACTTCCGGAGAAGAAATATTCCTGCATGCTGTCTCCAAGTCTAAGCCAGGCACTAGTGTTGGGAGTCAGATAAATAAGGAGTGGCACTTCCACTTGACAGAGCAATCAGTAAACCCCTCAACAAATTATCCTGTTCCAGTCATTTAGTGGCTATATGCTAACTGCAACATAATTACTACCAGGAGCCAAAATTATACTTCCATATCCTCACATAAATAAGCACAAATCTGATCGGCTATCTCCACCTCTCACAAGGAAGTATTTCTTACCAAGAAGATGGGGGTGGGGAATCCAAAGTGCTCTCCAAAAGACAGTCACAGTCAAAAGATTCATGTAGCCGGGGCGTGGTGTTCAAAGCCAGCCTGGTCTACATAGTGAGTTCCAGGACAGCTGGGGCTACAGGGAGACCCTGTCTCAAAAAGACCAAAAAAAAAAAAAAGATTCATGTAAGATTCCTGGTGACAAGGGTCCAACTCTTAAACTACTAAATCTAATCAGGGCAAATTTAATGTGAGGTTCTGCCTTCACGTGACATCACTCATAAAACTGCCACCAGCCCAAGAATAAAAAGCTTTGAATTCAGTTTAGCTAAGGTTTACTCAGAAGCCTAGGGCATATCGTTAGAAACAGCCTAAAGACAGACAACACTTTCAGTGAGGTCTAAAGAGTTTTGTTATAAAAATATATATATGGGTCAAAACAACTGTTCTCTATCAAAAGCCCAGCATTTAAGTGGCAGGCCATCATTTAAAGAAACTCAATGAAATAAAAGGATGAGGGAGGCACCACAGTTAAGATTTACTGCCTTTCAAAGACCTTTACCAAATCCAAAGGCTAAAGTTCCTATTCAATAATGGGCTATGGGAAATGGTTGGGTGGGTATTGTGTGCACTGCATTGCATCTTGTACACAATCCTCACTTAAAATGAATCTTATTTGTAATCTTTTAAAAGTTTTCTTTAATGTCCTACATGAAAACCTCTTTTCTAGCCTTGAATTTTTTTAAACCACTTAATAGTACCTGGATACTACTTGGGAACTTCTATGAGACATATGCAAGGATATAATTCTTTCTAAGGTAAGTTCCTCTCATCCTAATTCCCCAAGACCTAAATAATATTTTTAATGTTTCTCTCTGTGGCAAATTTCTCCCCACAACACAATGCCTGAATCATCTCCTCTCATTAGAGTTGATTTATAAAAGGAAAGTTTTGTTTCCAAAGCTTGTCTGGATAGGCAAATTGGGTGGCTTTTTTGTTGTGCAATTATTGACCAGGAAGTCACCATGAAAAAGGGACTTAGGACCAAAGTATGTGGTACATGCCTGTAAATCCCACTTTCAGGGGGCTGACGCAGGAGGATTGTGCGTTGGGGACCAGTATGGGCTAAACAAGTTAAAGGCCAGACTGGGCAACTACTGAGACCCTATCTGGAAAAGAAAAAAAAAAAAAAAAGATACTTGATCCTTGATTCTCTATCTTAACCCTATTCAGGTTTTCAGTGATATTCTTAACAGAACAAGCAAACAAACAAAACCACTGCCTGAGTGTCCCATCTTTACAGAGAAAAATTTAAATACCACAGTTAATGTAAGTGTAGAACCCCTGCAGTCTTCTTCCTTAAAGGTCTGCCACAAAACCTGAGGGATGAGCGTCCCACACGCTATGCCTCCACAACTTAGTTACAGGCTAACCAGAGGCAGGCACAACATGGCTGGCATTCCCTGTTCTTCAGAAAAATGTGTGCCAGTGAGGTCTGCATTGTTCCTCACTCAAAAAGAAGAGCCTTTCTGTTTGGCCTCCTCCAATGGCAAGCCCCAGTCTGGAAAAGGAAGAAGAAAATGGCACTGAGGAGCCTGGGAGATGGAGCATATCCAAAGCTCTCAGACAAGACTTGAACCTATGACCTTCACTGTGTACACAATAGGCGGGTGAGAGGGACCGGTTTATCTCTGCTGCGGCAGTTCTCAGCCCTGGGGTAGCACTCCGATAAAATGACACGACTATTGTGTGTGGCAGCAGAACAGTCATCGCCTCACAACAGCCTAAACCAGCACTCCCTCCCCCAAGACAAAGCAGCAGGAGTGAAATTAACTCAGGGCTGCAGAGCAAAGCCTAATACAGAAAAGAGAGGCCTGTGGGGGGCTCAGGGACTCTCCTCAACCCCTGGGGCTCTGGACACATGGCTGGAAACAGACAGGCTTTCTCCCCCATCTTTCCCACTCTCATTTAGGTAGGAAGCGGTTTCTTCGAGAATTTAATCATCTGTGATTTGTTCAGAAATATTCCCCCTGAAGGGCTCTGCTCTCTCCACCCTGTGTGAGCCTAATTCCTAGAAGCTGAAATGACTGTTTGCTGCTGCCTGTTTCACAAACACACATTAATTGGTCAGATGTGTCTCCTCCTCCTCAACCCCAGAGGGAGGAAGGAGAATCTGAGCAAAGCACAGAGATGATCCAACCGTAATTACACATAAAGGGAAAAGAGGGCAGCATGGGTTTTCCAAACAGGACAGGGTCACAATCCCTCCCCGGGGGTACAAGGAGAGCAGTTAAAAGTGCAGGCCCAGGGATCCCTCCATCTTGAAGAAAAGGACAGGAGCAGATGTGACCTGAGCCTGGGAAGGGGCACACACCCACAACCCACAGCCTGCACGCTGCCAGCCACCTTGCTCCTCCTTCCAGGGCCGCGCACACGTCCTGCGTCCCGGCTCCCGACGACCCCCGGCTGCCCCCCCGTCGCCCCGGTCCCCAGCGACAGATCCTCAGCAAACTCTCCGGCCTGCCCCGGAGCCTCTCCCGGGCCCCTCCACCCGCTGCCCAAACCGCCCGGGCCACGCTTTGAACTTCACCTCCGCGCCCCCTCCCCCACCACGCAACAACCCCGCTCCCCGCACACCTTCCCGGCGCTCCGCCCCGGCCCCAACCCCCACTTCCTCCGCCCGCACC